CTTGCAGATGAACCACGCAGCCTAGAAATACTTTAAAAAATTTAGGTATGTCACGAATGCATAAAATGCATGTAGATACTAGTCTATTTTATCACATACTATTGGAAAATGTACAAATATCTATTTTAAAAGGTTTATCAAATGTTGCACACACAAATACAGATATACATGACACCATTCACAATTGGGAGAAAGTAAACACATGTAAAGGCACAGGATTAAATCATAAATGCATAAAGTTGGCTGTAGTACACACTCTACTACTACAATAATTTCATAGCCTCCTCCTGTTGCTATGGCAGTGAGCTCAAGTGTGGCGAGTATTCGCTTTAAACACCGTATGATGTCACCTTTATGTAAACATAATCTCTCACAGTTCTTGTGTACTTTTTATGTTTAGTGGAATAACATAAACCTTGAATAACACCATTTGACCCATATAAAATGACACTAGTGATGCTGAACGTATTCTCAAGAAGCAAAGTCATGATATTACTAGAAAATTTGAATTGCTTTGATATATACCATAGATTGGAGTGTGCAGCAGCAGTTATCTGTCATTTCTGTCAGATGATTCACCTTGTAAACAGATCCTGTACACTTACACTATAGACAAATACAGTACACTATTGTACATACATTTCCTCTCAAAATTTCAGTAATATTTCCTTTAGCTTCCTCTATTAAGGTAAGAGTATATTAAACTATATATATATATAGAATATGTGTTAATCAACTGTTTATGTTATTGGTAAGGCTTCTGGTCAATAGTAGGCTATTGACTAGTAGGTAGGCTTTTGGGAGTCAAAAGTTACTCATGGGATTTGAGCACTGGGGATCAGCACACCTAATCCGTGCATTGTTCAAGAATCAACTGTATTTTCCTTAGTAACTTTATAGTTTATGAGGCATACATGTTTCCACTTCTTATTACTATAGTGTGAAATGCTGTTGGGTCAACTTGAATCCTAAATATGTCTATAATAGTAAGATATGGAAGTAGGACTACATATACACTGAACAAAAATCACAATGTAGAATACTGTATATAGAAGTCTGTAGCTTGAAGTGTAGAGCAGAGCCACTAAGGTGCAGAGTTTATTGTTCTTTCAGTGCAAGGCTTTTCTTTTCTTTTTTTTTTTTTTTTTTTTTGGTTGGGGTTTTATACTTTTTGCCCAGGCTGGAGGGCAATGGCACTATCTCAGCTCACCGAAACCTCCACCTCCTGGGTTCAGGCAATTCTCCTGCTTCAGCCTCCAGAGTAGCTGGGATTACCGGCACGTGCCAGCATGCCCAGCTAATTTTTTGTATTTTTAGTAGAGATGGGGTTTCACCATGTTGACCAGGATGGTCTCGATCTCTTGACCTCGTGATCCACCCGCCTCGCCCTCCCAAAGTGCTGGGATTACAGGCGTGAGCCACCGCACCCGGCATTTCTCAATTTAATTCTTTATGTCTGTGAATAAATTATAAATGATTTGCCTTCATGAGTATCGGGAGACCCGTTTTTAATCTTGCTTTCCATATAGACTTGAACCCTATCCGGTCTACAATTTGTTATTTCTTCTGAAAAACACTTACAAGGGCTCTGTTATTTCTTTCACAAGGATCTGTAGACGGGCCTCTGTCTCATCCTCAATGGGCAGCTGAGGCATCTGGGAAACCCTCTCCTTCTGGTAAGGGAGCCAGAGCGTCTAGAGTCTAAAACCTTGCAGCAAGTGGGGAGAGAATTTTTTTTTTCAATCCTCCTCATAGAGTACACAAGTCAGAATAAGCCTATGTCAGTTATCTGGTCTTTAACAGATCCAGGATCTGGTACAGCTGCCATGATGAACAACAGCTCAAGAGGCTCTTCCCCTACCAGGGTGATGGATGAAGGCAAGGTAAATGTACCCATTTTGAATAGTTATTTCAAGAACATTTCGCTTTTCCTACAACTCTCTCTTTGCTTCATCTCCTATTTGTGTGTTCTGTCTGTACTGTCTCATTTATTTTTCTGAAAAAGTAAACTGTTCTCCAAGAGCCTGAAGTCCCCTCACTTCCCAGCATTACATCTTCAGCTGAGCATCCGGTAGCAGTAAGTACTGAGAAGTGTGGACTGAACTGGGCTATCAATTGCCTGGCGATATTGATCTTACTTTTGTCCTTGACTTGGGAGTGCTGCTGAAATCTGACTGGTTTGTTGGCCTTTTCTCCTCTCTCCTGTTTGCTTAGACATTTAACCTGTGTAGAGCATTTGCTGTAACTGTAATTAACTTAAACAAAAGTGAAAAACGTCCCCACTCTTCTGTATTTCAGTGTTTAATGCTCTTATGCAAAGTAAATTCATTGTAAATTGTATAATTCATTTTTATGTCTTCATTTGGAAATGTGCTATTTAAGAATATCTCCAACTGTACACTAGGCAAAACCTATTTTGAAGGATCTGAAATTACAGCTTGATAACAGAAGAATGTTTGTTGGAAGTGAAGTACTGAATAGTGGAAGCCTGTAATTACCCATTGAGCCAGTTCTCAGCAGTGTCCTTAAACAGTGTTCACATAGGTGTATTCTCTTGTAACTTGTTTAGCTGTTAAGGCTGGTAAGTCCTCTGATCATACCTCACCATGCTTCTCTGTATTGAAATCAAAGTACATTTATTTTAATGATTGAGAGTTTCCAAACCACTTTCCCATAGGAAATGATTAGGCAGTGTCTCATAGTAGACAGTATTACTAGTGAATGCAGGTAAATAGAGTGTGCCTGTGTAATGGTGTTATAACATTGTCTCTCTTGGAACATACTTTGGAGTTCCAGCACATGACTCAAAAAATACACATCTCTTGAGGAATCTTTTTATCCAAGGGCAACTTGGATAAGACCCAAGGGCCCTTTGAAGTAGAAGACTTCAAAGAGAGTAGAGACTATTCTGTTAGAGAGGAAAAGCAGAGGTGGAAAGAACATGGCCTTGGAGCCAAACCTGGCATTGAATTCCAGCCCAGCTTCTTACAAGCTGTGTGACTGTCCGCAAATTATCTAATACTCTCTTTGCCTGTGTTCCTGCATATTTAGAACAAGATGGTCCTATTAGAGATTTAGAGACAGGAGAATTTGAGTTAACATAGGTAAGGCCTGTTGAAGGTACTCTGAATAATTGCTATTACATGATAGAGAATGTGTTTTTCATTCCCTTTCATTCTCTGCATTCTAAATATGGAAATTATTCTGATGGGAGGGATGAGCAGAGGGAGTGACTGCCGTACAAATAGTATTAGTCAGGAATGACTTCCCTTTATGACCTCTGCTTTCCCTTCCATGTGCAGATACAAGCAATAATAACGATTATGGCAAAAATGTTCGCTCCTGCGACATACTTTTAACCTTTGTAAGCTGTCAGTGGGAACAAATGAGAGTGGTAGGGGTTGCCCTAATTCTGCTCTTTGGACAAGTGCCTGACATCTGCTTCATTGGGTTTTAGTCTTTACTGGTGTTGCTACTTTTGTCTGTCATACCAGAGTATTTGATAACTTCAATTGCTTCTACTCTGCAGGTTAATATGACTCCAAAAGGGCCCCCTCCTTTCCCAGGAGTCCCTCTTATGAGCACCCCCATGGGAGGCCCTGTACCACCACCCATTCAATATGGACCACCACCTCAGCTCTGTGGACCTTTCGGGCCTCGGCCAATTCCTCCACCCTTTGGTAAGATGATCTGAACAGTAGTGATTAACTTGTAAAGCATAGTCATCTTCTCTCTCTGTCCCTTGCTGAAACGACTGCAATTGCAGGGCTTTGCATTGCAGTGATGAAACTGACTTAGTACATTGTAACTTCTCCCCAAGTTTCTTGAGACACAAAGGGTGCTGCCTAATGTCCTGTGATTAGATGCGCAATAATTTTCTCTAACAGAAAAAGGAAAGGGGCTATTTACAGAAAGCCAGAAATCTTCAGCCCATGTTTTTTGAACATCTCTGGCTGTGTACTAGGTCATCTTTAGGTCCTCTGAGCCAGAATGGCTCTTTTGGCCCATCCCATGTGAGTGGTGGGGAATGCTCCCCTCCAGTGACAGTGGAGCCACCTGTGAGACCGCCCTCTGCTACTCTCAGTCGAAGAGATATGCCGAGAAGTGAATTTGGTGAGCATTCTTCACATGTTTCCTTGCAACACAGTTTCAGGTGGCTTTTTCCCTTGTATTTGAGGATTCTAATGCAAACAACACTTTAGAATTTGCGTCTGTCCAGTATAGAAAGGAAAATATCTTATTTTGTCTTGGTGGATAAGTATTCAACTGCAAGGTTTATTTTAGAACAGAAAGCATTTATTATTTCCCTTGACGTCCTTGTATTGTTTCTTTTCAATTTTTTTATTATGAATTGTAAGCCTTTATCTTTAAATGAAAGTCCTGTGGGATTCCTCTTCCAAATAGAGCTGACACTTGAACAACACAGGTTTGATTTGTGCAGGTCCGTTTATATGCAGAGTTTTTACAAAAAACTCCTTGGGAAATGTTTTGTAACTCTGCAACAATTTGAAAGAGCTTGCAGATGAACCACGCAGCCTAGAAATACTTTAAAAAATTTAGGTATGTCACGAATGCATAAAATGCATGTAGATACTAGTCTATTTTATCACATACTATTGGAAAATGTACAAATATCTATTTTAAAAGGTTTATCAAATGTTGCACACACAAATACAGATATACATGACACCATTCACAATTGGGAGAAAGTAAACACATGTAAAGGCACAGGATTAAATCATAAATGCATAAAGTTGGCTGTAGTACACACTCTACTACTACAATAATTTCATAGCCTCCTCCTGTTGCTATGGCAGTGAGCTCAAGTGTGGCGAGTATTCGCTTTAAACACCGTATGATGTCACCTTTATGTAAACATAATCTCTCACAGTTCTTGTGTACTTTTTATGTTTAGTGGAATAACATAAACCTTGAATAACACCATTTGACCCATATAAAATGACACTAGTGATGCTGAACGTATTCTCAAGAAGCAAAGTCATGATATTACTAGAAAATTTGAATTGCTTTGATATATACCATAGATTGGAGTGTGCAGCAGCAGTTATCTGTCATTTCTGTCAGATGATTCACCTTGTAAACAGATCCTGTACACTTACACTATAGACAAATACAGTACACTATTGTACATACATTTCCTCTCAAAATTTCAGTAATATTTCCTTTAGCTTCCTCTATTAAGGTAAGAGTATATTAAACTATATATATATATAGAATATGTGTTAATCAACTGTTTATGTTATTGGTAAGGCTTCTGGTCAATAGTAGGCTATTGACTAGTAGGTAGGCTTTTGGGAGTCAAAAGTTACTCATGGGATTTGAGCACTGGGGATCAGCACACCTAATCCGTGCATTGTTCAAGAATCAACTGTATTTTCCTTAGTAACTTTATAGTTTATGAGGCATACATGTTTCCACTTCTTATTACTATAGTGTGAAATGCTGTTGGGTCAACTTGAATCCTAAATATGTCTATAATAGTAAGATATGGAAGTAGGACTACATATACACTGAACAAAAATCACAATGTAGAATACTGTATATAGAAGTCTGTAGCTTGAAGTGTAGAGCAGAGCCACTAAGGTGCAGAGTTTATTGTTCTTTCAGTGCAAGGCTTTTCTTTTCTTTTTTTTTTTTTTTTTTTTTGGTTGGGGTTTTATACTTTTTGCCCAGGCTGGAGGGCAATGGCACTATCTCAGCTCACCGAAACCTCCACCTCCTGGGTTCAGGCAATTCTCCTGCTTCAGCCTCCAGAGTAGCTGGGATTACCGGCACGTGCCAGCATGCCCAGCTAATTTTTTGTATTTTTAGTAGAGATGGGGTTTCACCATGTTGACCAGGATGGTCTCGATCTCTTGACCTCGTGATCCACCCGCCTCGCCCTCCCAAAGTGCTGGGATTACAGGCGTGAGCCACCGCACCCGGCATTTCTCAATTTAATTCTTTATGTCTGTGAATAAATTATAAATGATTTGCCTTCATGAGTATCGGGAGACCCGTTTTTAATCTTGCTTTCCATATAGACTTGAACCCTATCCGGTCTACAATTTGTTATTTCTTCTGAAAAACACTTACAAGGGCTCTGTTATTTCTTTCACAAGGATCTGTAGACGGGCCTCTGTCTCATCCTCAATGGGCAGCTGAGGCATCTGGGAAACCCTCTCCTTCTGGTAAGGGAGCCAGAGCGTCTAGAGTCTAAAACCTTGCAGCAAGTGGGGAGAGAATTTTTTTTTTCAATCCTCCTCATAGAGTACACAAGTCAGAATAAGCCTATGTCAGTTATCTGGTCTTTAACAGATCCAGGATCTGGTACAGCTGCCATGATGAACAACAGCTCAAGAGGCTCTTCCCCTACCAGGG